GATATATCAATAAATAACTATATATAGGCAATAAAACTATATAACTATATATAAATCTATATAACCGTATATAAAACTAAAAAACTATATATAATCAATAACACTAAATAACTATAGACAAATCTATATAACCGTATATATCACTATATATAACTAAAAATAATCAATAACTCTACAAAACTTTTTTATAAATCTATATAACCGAATATATCACTATATAACTATATATAATTAATAACTCTACATAACTATATAAAAATCTATATAACCGTATATAACACTATATGACTAAATATATTCAATAACTCTAAATAACTATATCCAAATCTATATAACCGTATATAACACTTAATGACTATCTATATTCAATAACTCTACCTAACTATATAAAAAATCTATATAACCGTATATAACACTGTATAACTATTTATAATTAATAACTCTACATAACTATATATAAATCTTTATAACCGTATAAATCACTATATAACTTTATATAATCAATAACTCTACATAACTATACAGTTTATACAACCGTATAACACACTAAATAACTATGTATAATTAATAACTCTACATAACTATATATATATATCTATATAACCATCTAACTACCACTAATCTAAACTGGTTTATCTAATCGCCTCAGTGGCTCTAAACTATTTAGCGCTAAGCTCATAAGTTTGGGGATCGTAACAAACAATATAAAATTTATATAACCGTAGATATCACTATATAACTATATATAAGCAATAACACAATAAAACTATATATAAATCTATATAACCATAAATATCACTATATAACTATATATAAATCTATATAACCGTATATATCACTATATAACTTTATATAATCAATAACTCTACATAACTATATATATGTCTATATAACCGTATATAACACTATAAAACTAAAAAAAATTTATAACTATACTTAACTATATATAAATATATATAACCTTCTAACACAATAATAAACTGGTTTATCTAATCGCCTCAGAGGCTCTAAATTTTTAAGCTCTAAGCGCATAAGTTTGGGGATTGTCACAAACAATATACAAATTTATATAACCGTATATATCACTATATAACTATATATAAGCAATAACACTATATAACTTTATATTAATCTATATAACCGTATATATAACTAAATAACTATATATTCAATAACACTATAAAGATATATATAAATCTATATAAACGTATATATCACTATATAACTAAAAATAATTAATAACTCTACATAACTTATATAAAACCGTATATATCACTATATATAACTATATATAATCAATAACTGTACATAACTATATACAATTCTATATAACAGTATATATCACCATATAGCTATATATAATTAATAACTCTACATAACTATATATTTATCTATATAACCTTCTAACTAACACTAAACTAAACTGGTTTATCTAATCGCCTCAGTGGCTCTAAACTATTAAGCGCTAAGCGCATAAGATTGGGGATTTTCACAAACCATATACAAATTTATATAACCGTATATATCACTATATATAAGCAATAACACTATATAACTTTATATTAATCTATATAACCGTATATAACACTAAATAACTATATATAATCAATAACACTCTATAGTTATATATAAATCTATATAACCGTATATTACACTGTAAAAATTTATATAATAATTAACTCTACATAACAATATATAAATCTATATAACCGTATATATCACTATATAACTTTATATAATCAATAACACAACATAACTATATATAAGTCTTTACACCCGTATATAACACTATATAATTATAAATATATAATAACACTACATAACTATATACATATATATCTATAAAATTTTCTAAATACCACTAAACTAAATTGGTTTATCTAATCTCCTCAGTGGCTCTAAACTATTTAGCGCTAAGCTCATAAGTTTGGGGATGGTAACAAACTATATATAAAATTTATATAACCGTATATATCACTATATAACTATATATAAGCAATAACACTATAAAACTTTATATAAATCTATATAACCATATATATCACTATATAACTATATATAATCAATTACTCTACATTACAATATATAAGTCTATACAACCGTTTATAACACTATATAGCTATATATAATTAATAACTCTACATAACTATATATTTATCTATATAACCTTCTAACTACCACTAAACTAAACTGGTTTATCTAATCGTTTCAGTGGCTCTAAACTATTAAACGCTAAGCGCATAAGTTTGGGTATTTTCACAAACTATATACAAATTTATATAACCGTATATATCACTATATAACTATATATGAGCAACAACACTATATAACTATATATAAATCTATATAACCGTAAATATCACTAAATAACTATATATATTCAATAACACTCTATAGCTATATATAAATCAATAAAACCGTATGTATCACTCTATATAACTATATATATTCAATAACTGTTCATAACTTTACACAATTCTATAAAACCGTATATATCTATCACTGTACAACTATATATATTCAATAACTCTACATAACTTTTTATAAATCTATATAACCGTATATAACACTATATGACTATATATAATCAATAATTCTACATAACTCTTTATAAACCTAGATAAACGTATATAACACTATATAACTACATATAAATCTTAATAAACGTATTTATCACTATATAAATAGATATAATCAATAACTCTAAAAAACTATTTT